ATGATCGAAATCAAATAAATTTAAATTTGATGAAAAAAAACCGGGAAAAATTAGGACAAAGCCGGGAAAAACCGAGAAATATCGGGAAATTTTGTTGAACGAAAATAGTAAACACCCTGAAATTGACTTTAACTACTGATATCTGAATAATAACGAAATATAGCATTCAAGTTTGACAAAAAATTTACTTCTACTACTGAAGCCTGACTAAAATTGACTTGAACTACTTATAACTTAATCATATTGAAATATAGCATTAAAGTCTTACTAAACTTTACTTTTACTACTGAAAACTGAATTAAAATTAAAAGTATGTACAAATAATAAAATTTCTAAGATTTCTCAGTACAATTGACTTCTACTACTGATTTTTCGACTATATCTTTTCAAAATTCCATGTCGCATATAAATTTATTGTTACTACTGATAATTAGGAGTAAAATTTTAATAACTATCAAAATATATTAATTACAGATCTTCAAAAAACGCTGTCTGACTTAAATTTACTTTTACTACTGAAAATATTTTATATTAATTTTTTTATAAATATTATTTTACTAATACTAGACGTCTGACTAATATTGACTTAAACTACTGCTATGGTTGATTGATAAAAATTAGAAATTTCTGTCTAAATAAAAATTGTTACCACTATATTAATTGTTTCTTGTTATTTATCATTTTACGTCTTCTAAGTGTTTATGACCAGAATAATACTGAATTTAAGCAAAAAAAAAAAAATTGCAATTTGAATAATTTAATAAGTTATTAGTCATGAAAGTTATATTCCTCATTTGATAAGAATATTTTCCCCTCTGAATAAACTTTCATGTGTCTGTTATATAATAACAAGTTTAATTAGTTTCATTACTGTAAATTCCATTTCATATTCGATTGTTTAAGATTTCAAAGTGCTCGTTTATTCAAAGTTTACTGGATGATAGTTATGATTATACTTAATTATTCAATGTTGAGAACAACCGGTTCCTTCCAACAATGGGCATTATTATTGTTGTTTTTATTATTATTATTATTATTTTTATTTATCTATTTTATATTATATACACATAATTTATTAATTATATTAATAATATAATTACTATAATTTATTAATATTATAATAATTATATTATTATGTACTTTTAATTTGTTTCTTTCTCGTTTAATATTTATTTTATCCTTTTTTTATTTATTTACATATTTATTTATTAATTATAGAATTTTATTATTATTATTATTATTAATAATATTATATTTAGGTATTTCTTTATTTCACATTTATTTCAATCTATCTATTTATTATTATTTTATTATTATTTTATTATTACTATCAATATTATTGTTACTATTATTTTTGTTAAGACAAAACGTTAGGGGAGAGAAAGACTTTACTTCGCGATCTGTTCAGTCGTTTATTGTGTCTTGACATAATATATTCTCTTCTTTACTCTGAAATACTCGTTGTTTATTTTTAATAGACAATATTCTCCGACTGCTTTAAATAATCATGGGTCCATTAATTCTAAAGTGAAATTTAATTCCTTGTTATTTATTTATTTATAATTTCGACTATTTCTTGAGCTGTTTATTTATTTCTCTCCTGTATTTGTCATTTATATATTTATTTTTTATTTATTTTCTTTATTAATATTTCATTACTTGAATTATTTTAATTATTAAAATAAATTATTTTATTATTATTCAATTAATTTATTTTATTTATTATTATTTTAGTATTACAATATAACATTATAATTGTACTATAATAATAATATAATAATATTTATACTATCATTTATGTTTTTTATTATTTATTATTTACATTTTTTATTTATTTACTTATTTATTTATTTTATACATTTGTTATCTATTTCTTTAATTATTTTACGACTTAATTTTTCATTTATTTTGTCTGAATACTTTTTTTAATTCGCAAAATTAAATTTTACAGAGTAAATATTTAAGTTAGTATTTTTATAAACGAAATATCGTATCGGCTACTGGATCTAAATGTTCCAAATAATCTATAGGTTTTCGAATGAAATTTATTTACTATTTTTCATTACTTTTTTTTTCTTCTATATAAAACTTTGACGAATTCGACCCAGTTTTGATGTTTTTGAATCTTTTCCGCGTATTTCTTTTATTTCCTGCTCTTATTTTGTTACATCTTTCGTTAAAAACTTGTACTCCTTTTAATAAAAATATATCTATCGGAAAAATCATTTTTCTTTATATTAGCTCTTTACAAAATTAAAAATATTTACCAAAGATTTGAAAAATGAACAATTTCACAAAAATAAAAGATTAAAGTTGAATTTAAGGAAATAATAAAATAAGAGAAATGGAAAATTCAAGTTTTTACAATGAAATAAAAAATTAAAAATCAAATTAGAAAATTTTTCATGAATTTAAAAAGTTTAAATCAAAACCACTGTTGGTATAAAATTATCAAATTGCAACGAAATTGATAACAAAAATCTGCATGGAAATTATAAATTGATACAAATTTTTAGTATCAATTTGATTCATTTTCGTATCAATTTGATAGTCTCACACAGTAAAACATGAGGTGTTAAAATAACACCAGAATGGATTAAAATAATCTGCAACAATTTAATCCTTCTAGGATTAAATTAACACCAGAAAGGATTAAAATAATACATTTTGGTGTTATTTTTAACTATGAATGAAATTTTACTTTAAATAAAACACCAAAGTCAACGATTTGTAAAATTTCAACGAATTTAGATTCTCTAAGGAGAATAGTAAGTTACTAACTTACTAACTAACTTAGTAACATAGTTGCTAAATTCAATTGTGTTCAAAAATTTTAAAAAATTCTCGTTAAAATTTCAATTCTCTTTGTAAATAATAAAATTCTTCTCTGATATTCAATTATTTTACAAAATTTTAATCAAATTCTTGTCAAAATTTTAATTATTTTTAAAGTTTTCTAAAATTCAATGATTTTCAATATCTACTATTTCAATAAAATTTTCGAAAAGAATTCCATTATTCAAAAAAAATTTCAATAAAATTCTACGCAAACATTCAATTATTTTCGTAAATAATAACTTTTTTACAGGGATTCAATTATTTTTATAAATAGTAAAATTGTTTTAGGAATTCAATTATTTTCATAAATAATCAAACTCATTGCTGAATTTCAATTATTTTTAATGCAATTTTAATCGAATTCCTCGAAAAATGTTATTATTCTTAAAAATTTTATTAAAATTCGTCCAAAGAATTTAATGATTTAAAAAATTTGTTAATAACATTTTCTATAAGAATTTAATTTCAAGAAACATGAAATTAATAAATTCTTTATTTTTGTATTTAAATAATTGAATTCTCGTAGAATTTACAAATAAAAATGGTTTTAAAAATGAATTTTAGTTAAAATTTTAGATTAAAATTAAATATAAAAGCATTATAACGTGGATTTTTAGAAATAATTAAATTTTGAAAAAGTTTCAAATTAAAATCATTGAAATTCTTAATTTTTCATATTTTTAACAAACAATTCTGTAGAATTAATTCTTTTTAAAAGTTTAATAGGATAATAATTTTTCATACAATTATAATTGAATTTCTTGAAAAAAGTAATTATGTTCATGCAAGTTTTAATAAAATTCGACAAAAGAATTCAATTATTTAAAAATTTGTTAATAAAATTCTTTATGAGAATTGAATTTTGAGAAACATTCAATTATTCAATAAATTATTTACTTTTGCATTTAAATAATTAAATTCTTGTAGATTTTTCTAATAAAAATTAATTTTCATTTCATAAAAATGAATTTCAGTTAAATTTTTAGATTATAATTGAATATTAAAAGCAATTTAGCATGAATTTTTAGAAATAATTTAATTTTGAAATTAATTTTTTTGAAAAAGTTTAATTAAATTTTCTTTTATACTATTTGAAGGTTTTATTTTCTAATATGCATTTAATTAAAGAATTTAGGAATAATTGAAATTTCGTGAAATTGAATATTGTAAACAAATGGATTTGAAAATTGCAAAAAACTTTTTCAAAAATTATTAAAAATAATTGATATAAAGTAAAATTTTATTTTAAATTTTTTGAACATAATAATTGAATTGAAATAATGAAAATAATTTTGGAGAAATATAATATTCTTATAATATAAAATATATAATGATTTTTTTATTTGGTCATCTTTAATTGTTATAAAATACGAAGAAATCGATCGCTCCGAGTCGAAGACTCAGAGTTATCGATATCTTCATGTTTTATAGATTATAAAAAATTTAATAAACTAAAATTTTATTCATTGTAAAAAATGACACCAAAATTGATTATTTTAATCTTTTTTGGTGTTAATTTAATCTGCAACACTTTTTAATACCTCACGATTTACTGTGGCAAGAAAACTGTGAGTAGAAATTGTAAATGAAATTGAAGGAGTTAAAATTAAATTAAAAATTTGAATGGTAATTGAAAATTAAAAATTTTAAATGAAATTGAATAGTAAAAATTTCAATGGTAATTGAAAATTAAAATTTTTAAATGAAATTGAATAGTAAAAATTTGATTGGTAATTGAAAATTAAAAATTTTAAATGAAATTGAAATTAAATTGAATAGTAGTAAATTGTAGTAGTAATGTAAATAGTAAATAGTAGTGAAAAGTAGTGAAAATAGTAAAAAGTAGTAGTAAAAATTGAATAGCAAAAATAAGTTAAAAATTTTAATTGAAAATTAACTTAAAAACTTAAAATAAAATTGATATTTAAAAAATTCTTGAAACTATAGAAAAGCAGAAAAATGCAACTGAGAATTGAAATGATTTATTTTATGTATTTAACTTATAAATATTTAATAATTAATAAAATTAATTGATATTAAATCAAATAATTTTATTAGTTTCGATATTAGAAGCAGAAAAAAAGGGAAGGGGTAAAAATTTATAAAAGAGATGTTATGTTTAATGTGTAAAAGTGAGACAAGAGGTGACTATGATTTTTCAGAGATTTCCGTCGAGAAGACTCTGCATGAAGCGTTCGTTCCACAAGGGGAGAAGAAGTCGCGAGAACTCCTGTGAACAAACCTACATTTAACGACAGCGTCTGAAAAAAAAATTAACTCAGGATGGCCAAGAAACTGCCCATGACGATTGCACACACTATTATAAATTCAAAAAACAAAAAAGAAAAAAGAAACGATACGAAAGCAGCTTTTTCCGCAATAACGCTTTTTTGCAATTCATCGTTCACAGTACTAAAGTGTCGGCATCACTCCCATATACCAAACTTCTTTTCCAAAAAAAATATTTCTACTTTCTTTCCCCATATTCACATATCCTTTTTTTTCCTTTTTTCAAATATTCTCTACTTTTTTCCCTACAATAAAAGTGGGGAGTTTTTTCACTTTTTTTGCTCCGAATTCTTTCCCGCTTCCCACACACAGGTCTCGTCCAGCTTTTTCCTTTCAGACGCAAACTTGAAATGGTACCATCGCTGATCTTATCTCGTGCTAACCCGCTTTATAAGCATATTAAATCTCCATGGACGGAGAGGACAAGCTATTTTCATTGAGCGATTATACCGGTATGTTTCTACGTGGATTATATGAGTTATTACTTCAGCACATGCACTTGACGGAGAAAAGCACCTCTCTTGCAATACACCTTAGTCATCTCAAGCCACAATTCATCTCTTCCCTATTCACTTTCAATAATTAATTTTCCCCAAGAAAATGTAAAGTTTACTTTTCATTTTTCAAAATTCGCTTTTCTTTTCAATTTTTCTTTATTTTTATACGCATATTTCATTATTCCAATTATTATATTAATAATTACGATTATCCTAAAATCAATCTTAAATTTTTATTATTTTTTATACATGGTTCATGTCTTTCGGTTTTGAACGAGAATTATTATAATTATTATTTCTATAGATACTATAATTATTAATTTACTTCTAGTGAATTATTAACTTAATTATAATAATAAAATAAGTCACCCAGAGAAAAAATTTATTTAAATCAAATATAATTTATTTGAGTTGAATAAAAGTATTTTTGTCTCAGAGCTTACTAAATTTCATTAATTTGTTATTATAAAAAAAATTTATTCGACTCTAATAACAGGGCTCGAACTAGATCCGTAAATCCCGTAAAGGTCCGTAAATTTGCTTGAAGTCCGTAAAAGTCCGTTTTTTTAAAAAAGGTCCGCAAAGTCCGTAATTTGATTGAGAAAAGACGAAAAGTTCGTAAATTGTACGATATAATTTGAAGAATTTTAGAAAAGTTACAAATGAATACAGAAATTTAGTTATTTTCAAAAGTAATAAAATTCTTCGCAAAAATTGAGTTATGTTCAACAATCTTTTTAAATTCTCGTCAAAATTTCAATTATCTTTAGAAATAATTAAATTCTTCTTCGAAATTCAATTATTTTTGAAACATTTAATAAAATTCTTGGAAAAATTTGAATTATTTTCAAAAATTTCCCTCAATCAATAATTTCCAATATTTGCTACTTTAATAAAATTGTCCAAAAAAATTCAATTATTTAAAAAAAAATTTAATAAATTTCTTCGCAATCATTCAATTATTTTCATAAATAATAAAATGTTTACACGGATGCAATTATTTTCGTAATATAATAAAATTCTTTTTAGAAATTCAATTATTTTTTTAAATAAAAAAACTCATTGCAGAATTTTAATTATTTTTAATACAATTTTAATCGAATTCGTCGAAAAATGTAATTATTCTTAAAAATTTTATTAAAATTCGTCAAAGGAATTCAATTCTTTAAAAATTTATTGATAAAATTGTTTATAAGAATTCAATTTTAAGAAATAAGCAATTATTATTAAATAAAATGTTTTTTTTTGTATGTAAATAATTGAATTTCAAATGAAAATCTTTGAGAATCTGAATGTTGCATATTTTTAACTGTGGAATTAATTCTTTTGAGAAAGTTTAATTGAAGAATTTACGAAAAATGCTTATAGAGAAGAATTTTAGTTGAAAACACGAAACGAAATTTAATTTTCGAAAAGTTACAAATTATTGCAGAGATTTAATTATTTTCGAGAGTAATAATATTCTTCGCAAAAATGAAATATTGTTCAAAAATAATAAAATTCTTCTCAAGGATTCAATTATTTTCACAAATAATAAAAACTCATTGTAGAATTTCAAATTATTTTTAATACAATTTTAATGGAATTTCTCGAAAAATGTAATTATTCTCAAAAATTTTATTAAAATTCTTTGAAAGAATTCAAATATTTAAAAATTTATTGATAAAATTCTTTATGAGAATTCAATTTTAAGAAAGATGCAATTATTCAATAAATTGTTTATTACTAATTAAATAATTTATTTTCTAGTAGAATTTTCTAATAAAAATTGATTAAAAATGAATTTCAGTAAAAATTTTAGATAATAATACAATATTAAAAGCTTTATATTCTTGAATTTTTAGTAATAATTGAGTTTTGAAAAGGTGTCAGATTAAAATTTGCAATTAAATAAAATTTTGTAAAATTGAGTTGTATAAGCAAGTAAATTTGTCGATTCTCAAAGAACTCTTTTTTAAAAATTATTAAAAATAATGGATTTATAGAAGATGTTTTGCTAAAAAACATGGAAAAAAATTAAATTTTGGAAAAGTTACAAATTATTGCAGAAAATCAATTATTTTCAAAAGTAATAATATTCTTCGCAAAAATTAAATATTTTTAAAAAATAATAAAATTCTTCTTAGGGATTCAATTATTTTCACAAATAATAAAACTCATTGCAGAATTTCAATTATTTTCAATTCCTTTTTAATCGAATTTCTCGAAAAATGTAATTATTCTTTAAAATTTTATTAAAGTACGTCGAAAGAATTCAGTTATTTAAAAATGTGTTAATAAAATTCTTTGTGGGAATTGAATTTTTAAAAACATTCAATTATTCAATAAATTATTTATTTTTGTATTTAAATAATAGAATTCTAGTAGAATTTTCTCATAAAAATTGATTTTCATTTCATAAAAATGAATTTCAGTTAAAATTTTAGAAATTTTTTTGAAAAACTTTAATTGGTTTTTTAAAATATTATTTTAAGTTTTTATTTTCCAATATTTATTTAATTTACGAATTTACGAATAATTGAAATTTCGTAAAATTGAAAATTGTAAAGAAATGGATTTGAAAATTGTCAAAGAACTTTTTCGAAAATTATTAAAAATAATCGATTTAAAGAAGAATTTTAATTTAAAATTCTTGAAAATATTAATTGAATTGATAATGACTGGTTATATATTATATATTATAAGAAAATGTTATTAATAATATACACCGAGAGAAAAATTTTATTTTATCCAAATTTAATTTATTTGGATTAATTAAAATATGTTCATATCAGAGCCTATATACACTAAATTATTTATATTTGCTTCGAATACAAATTTTATTTGACACAAGTAAAATTTTTATTCGTCTTAAATAAAAAATTTTATTTCACACAAATAAAATTGTTATTTGTTTATTATAAAAATTTTACTCGCTGCGTAAAAAATTTTTATTTGCACCAAATAAAATTTATTTACACAGAAAAAAGCCTCACTTGAAACGTCGATAATTTTCTCTGTATAATTGCATAATTTTTAACCTGCAAAAATTATTAATTAAACTCTTTAAATTACATAATAATTAATTACATTATAATAATTTTTTTTTAATAAACATTTTAATTTTTAATTATTAATAATTTCATTATTACATAATTTACATAATTTACTTAATTATATAATTAGAAAATTAAATAATTACATAATAACATAATTAAATAATTAGACGTTTATACGAGAAAAACTAGCTTTTCATTATTGTTTCGTATTTTCAAAGAGAGAATTTTCAAAGACTGAATTTCACATGTCTGACCAAAATGACCTTTTTCTACTGATTGCATAATAAAATATTAACTTTTACTGTTTGATTAAAAACACTTTTTGTTTACTGAATAATAAAATAACATTCTGTCTGACTAAAATTGACTTTCACCACTGACATCAAAAGTGAAGTAGAAATTTTGTCTATATTATCGGAAAAAATTTGAAAGTAAAAATTAAAAACCTTTGGGGTCTGACGCGAATATTGACTTTCACTACTGATGATTGGCTATAAATGGATTTTGATGTTGAGTTATTAAATAAATTCATTTATATTAAATACTGATAAATACTTTTAAACTAATTTTTTTAATTTATTAATTTTTTACTTTATTTATTAATTTATTTATTTATTTATTAATAATTTATTAAAATATTATAACATTGATGTCTGACTTACATTGACTCTTACTACTGAAAACATTTTATTTAAACAATTCAACAACTTTGTCTGGCCTAAATTTACCTTTACTACTAATACATAATTATTTTGAACTACTAATATATTATGCATGAGAAATTTCAATGTCTGACTAAAATCTACCTTTACTACTGTGATATCATAATTTAAGAAAATATACGAAGGAGAAAAATCTTTTTCAAAGTTTTGTTTAAAAAAATTATTTTTCTACTAATATAATTATTTTGAAGTCTGACAACAAATAACTTTTACTATTAATAATTTACATACTTATTTAGTAATAATTCACAATTTAGTAATAATTTAGTAAATAAGTAGTAACGGTAAATTGTAATCAGACGTAGGAACGTCTGACCATAATTTACTGTTACTACTTTGATATCATAATTTAAAAAAAAAAAATTTCTACGACGGAGAAAAATCTTATTTTTCAAAAAAAAATTTCTTTACCAAAAAAAAAATTAATAATGAAAACAAAAGGTGAAAAATTCCGAACAATGCATGTGCACTTTTGTTTTGCATACGCGATATGTTGAAGCCATAAGGTAAACGTGAAAAATCTAGTCGATTGGCTTTTGTCCGTGAATTGGAGTTTCTCCTCCGCGGTTGTATCATCGCGGTCGGGGGACTAAAATAAAGATAAATTTTAAACAAAAAAACAAAATAAAAAAAAAATATGAAACACAACTAGAGAAAAAAAAACGGACAAGTAAACTAGATGAATAAAATGGAAACCGCAAATAACTGCGAAGGGACCAGCATATATTCCATTTCTAAAACAAAAAATAAAACTAAATTTATGCAAACTTGTTTCATAAACTTACAAACAAAAAATTAGATTTTAAAAAAATGGAAATTCGAGGAGATATTAATTTTAACGTTTATTTATATCTTTTATTTCAAATACTAATCTGTTGACCTAGTAATTTCTTAATTATTTTCTCCCAACTTCCTTAGTATTTATTTTATAAATAATAAATAATCTGCTTTTATAATAAAAGTAAATAAATTATTTTTTTTAAATATTTGTTTATTTATTTACAGGGCTCAAACCAGTGAAAGTATTTAAAATAAAGGACTTTACGAACAAAAATTGAAAAATTACAGATCAATTACTGACAAAAATATATAAACAATCCGAGTCAAATAATTTTACTTAAAACTACAAATTAAATTTTTCATAACTATAAAACATGAAGATATCGATAACTCCGAGTCGTCGACTCGGAGTGTT